TAGGGAAAGGTCCCAGGATGCCTGTGTGGGCTAAGAGCCAGGGAAGCATAACCAGAGGGGAAACCTTGGTGTGCCTGAGTGCTTTAAAGTGGAGAGTGAGCCCAGAGGTGCTGCCTGGTTTGCAACGGCAGTTTGCTCTCCCTCTGTGGCTCACCTCCGTAAATAGCTCGGTGGGCTTGGAGAGGCCATGCACAGGCAGGGAAGTGTGCACCAAGGTTCGTGGGGGAGAATTTGTGTTTTGCAGGGATCTGGAGTGGAAACAGCCTCTGCCGACTGCAAGACGCCTGGCCCTGCATGGGATGCCCAAGGCAGCTGGAGCCTGCAAGCATGTGATGAGAGGAGTGAGGGACTGCCCCTCCCTCCATTCTTGGGTATAAGTCAGGGTGACTGGCTATTAGTTGTAAATAGCTAATTAGCGATTTGATACAATGAGTATTTATCCTGGTGCATAAGTTATTAGTTTTGTACTTGTTAATTGGGATCATCCCCTAAGTGTAGATAGTTATCAACTGTTATTTTCATATAAACTTATCCTTGTGCACTGTAAATAGAGAGGTTCAAACTTTTGATATGATTCAACGTTTGCTTGTATACAGCAATTATTTTTTGCATATAATTAAATTCTGTAAATAGTTATTTCTGAGTCTCCAAGGTCTTTGCATTGTAAAGGGAGCCTCTCCTCTCAGGGAGCCTCTAGCCACTCCTAGGTGAGCTGAGCAGGGGGTAAAGCTACCTAGCACCCCAGGTCCCGACCAATCAGACACGGCTGCGGTTAGCACCATGCGCCAGGGGTTACACACGTCAGAAATCCTTGAGTTATCCCTGGGGTAAAGTGTGATCTCAGTGTTTTTCCAGGCTAGCCCCTAGTGGTTTTGGTACTGGGTGTACGACTTGCTGGGCACGTATACACGAGATGCTATGGTGACATAACATGGGCGGGCACAAACTGTGATGCCAACACTACGTCACCATAGTGACAAGCTACTTCAGTATAGTGCATCACTATAGCCATGTAGCTGCTAAAAATAACTGTGCCACCGGGACAGCACAGTAATACCTGTTACTGCGTCATCATTTCGTACTTCCTAAAGCAAGTACAAAATGACAGTGCAGTAACAACTGCACCATGGGGGGCATGTATAGATGTGCCCACCTTGTTTTGGGCATACCTAAACTTTTAGACCGATTATGACCTTTTATTTGATAATAGACAAATGTTACTGATGCACAGTAATAGCAGATAAGAATAATGCAGGCAAGGCAAACAAAATAACTTTTTTGATTTTATATTAGTACATTTGGCTAGTACATGAACTTTATTTTGGGGGGAGGGGGAGGGGTTTGAAAGTTAGATGTTAGCAGCCTGGAGGCCAAGGCCCACCCTTTTTAGCGGGGTGGATGAGATGAGCTGTTGGTATGCCTTTTGTTTATGGTGGCCTTGGGATTTCCCCTTGGGGCTCTTTGCTGCTTTGAAATTTGTTTGGAGTTTTTTTGTATTTTTTACAACTCATTTTTGGGCATCATTGATTTATTTTTATGGTCATTAATTATACTGTTTATGTTTTG